CCACAGCAGTCGCCCTGACAACGAGACGCCGCTGGGAGACTGGTGGGCGGGGAGCATGCAGATCATGGGGACGAGTCACAGGTCTCAGGCAGGACAGCAGGTCGGTGAGACTTCACCATGCTACTCAGAACAATGCACAATTTGAAACTGATGAATTGTTTCCAGAATTTTCCATTAAATATCCTTGAACAGTGGTTGCCCAGGGGTAACTAACTAAAACCACAGAAAGCAAAACCACGGATACGAGATGACTATACACATTCTCTCATCTGTTGGTTCACTTCTAGGAAGTCTTTCTATGGAAATAACCAGTGAACAAAGATTTGTGCCAGATATTTATCTCAGTGAGGCTTAGAGAAAGAGTTACAGTAAACTGTTGTAAACTCCAAGCCTTCATACAGCAGAACACCATATGACCATTATGATGAGGAAATAGCTATGTTCAATGACAGAGAAAAATGCTCACAGGTACAGGAAGAAGAGTGTTTCACACAGCCTGGACGGCGCAAGCCCATTTTTGTAAAAGAGTACAACTGCTTACAGCCAGGAGTATGTACAGAAGTCAGTTGGGAAGGGCATGAACCACAAGGGTGGGATTATGGGTAATTTAAACTTTTCTTCCTTCTTGTCTCACATAAAATGTTTTCTATAAGGAACAAAGGTGATTTGCATTAAGAAAAAGAATGATCAGGCTGTCTGGGTGTGGAAGGACATTCCTGCCGAGGGAACAGCCTCCATGAAATGCTCACACAAGAGCGGCCGCAGGGCATGCCTGGGAAGGACAAGCAGCTCAGGCCAGCCCAAGGGGAGGGTGCGCGGGTGGGGAGCAGTGGCTGGGGCGGGGGACAGGCCCCAAGAAACTTCAGAGCTGACCGCAGGCAGGGGTAATGGCTTTATTCTGACCAGGGATGCACAGCAATGAGGAAGGAGCAAGCAAAAAGCTAAGCTGGCCACTGAGGACTGAGTGGCCAGCAGGACAGACAGTCCAGGAGGGTGAAGGCCAACTCCTGATCCCTGTGGGCGATATGGCATCTGCAGAGGGACCAAACATCAGGACAGAGAGCAGGGCCGGGCTACATAGTGACTGTGGATGGAAGAGGCAACGAATGCATGTCCCCAGTGCGGGGGCGGAGGCCTGGCTGACCAGAAATATTCTGAATCTTGAGGCCACCACATGAAACATTTTCAGCAGCCCAGCCATCACCCTGTCCCTCATCCCTCCTGTCACCAGGGCTTGGCCCGAGGTTGGCACTGAACAAATATTTGCTGGGTGAATGAATGCCCATGCTGATACGCATTCTCCCCCAATCCCTAGACCCTTTCACTGTTCATTCCTTCAACAGACTATGGCTACCTCCAGGGATACAGAGATGAATAAGGCTCCTGATCCCGAGAATTATATGAACCTAAAGGACAAGGAAGTCCCAACTTCAGTGCAGTGTGCAAACCCATGCTGCAGGTCTGCCCAGTTGCTATGGGAACCTAGAGGAGAAGCATCTGAAGCTGACTGGGTTGAGCAAGGGAAGGCATCCTAACGGACATGGGGCCCTAAACCGAGAGGTGTTAAAGCAGGTGAGTGAGAGCAACATGTGGACTGCTGAGGAGACTGCTCCTCTGCAGTGGGGGTGGCCTGGAGCGAACTCAGGTGGCCAATCAAGAGGCAAGAGCAGTAATGCAGGCAGAGGACAATGTGGTCTGGCCTAGGATGAAAGCAGGGGACATGGAGAAAAAGAGACAGAAACATCCAGAAGGACAAATACCAGGGATACATGTAAAAGGTGACGCTTAGATTACTGACCAGAGCCACTGAGTGGACAGCGGCGCCATCTGTTAAGATGGGGACACTGGGAAACAAGCAGTTGGCTTGTATGAAAGTCAAGGTCAGTTTGGAAAACAGTGAATTTGAGGGGTTGAGGGGTCTGACACTCGGAAAAGCTTTGTGGCTGAAAGGCAGGTGGCAAACCAAAGGGGAGGCTCAGCTTTGGAGCACACCCGCTCATCACAGCCTAGGCTTCAGGGGAAGAGGCCTGGGAGTAACCCCGAGGACCGCTGACGTGCACGGCTGGGAAGGGGCTGCGAGAGCGGCACAGCGAGGCCTCCGGGGCAGGCGAGATCCAGGTGAGCGGCTCACAGAAGCCAAGGGAAGGGGCTTCCAAGAAAGAGGAGACAGTCAATTTGCTGGCGCTGTGACCAGGAGGAGGAGGACAACAGCTCGAGCAGTAGTTTTCAACCGTGAGTGATTCTGCCCCCTAGGGAATACCTGGTAATGTCTGGGCACAGTTTTTGTCTGTCACAACTCAGAAAGTGCCACTGGCATCTAGTGGGTGAGGATCAGTGATGCTGCTCAACACCCTACAAGGCACAGGATGGCCCCCCACAGGAATTATCCAGTCCCAAATATCAACAGCGCTGAAATGGAGAAAACCTGAGTTACAGGAATTTGGAGAATCTCAGCAAGATTTTTCAAAAGAGCCCTGACTGGTATGGCTCAGTGGGTTGGGCATCGTCTTACATACAAAAAGGTCGCTGGTTCGATTCCCGGTCAGGGCACATGCCTGAGATGCAGGCCAGGACCCCAGCTGGGGGCGTGTGAGAGAGGCAACCACACATTGATGCTTCTCTCCCTCTTTCTCCTTCCCTTCCCCTCTAAGTAAATAAATAAATAAACCCCTTAAAAAAAAAAAGATTTTTTAAAAGAGAGCCAAGACTGGAGCACGTTGAATGTGGATGGGACAATCTCGCAAAGGTCCAGAGGAGTGGGCACGTGAACAGCCTGAGGTTCCTGGGGGCAGAGAAGGGCCAGGGTCCAGGACAGAGATGGAGATGGCTGCGGAGCAGAAGGCAGTCGTCAGGTGAGGTGAAGGAGTCACAAGGGGAACCACGATGACAAGGTTGCTCCGGAGGATGGGGACAGCCCTCGTGGCAAGCTGAGCTCAGCTGGGGACTTGGCTGGACAGGGCCCCAGTCTCCCTCTGGTGCGGGCAGCCTGAGCCTGGCCAGGATAAAGCAGCTGAAGGAAGGCCTCCATGGGCCGGGTTCCCCCAGAGCAGTGCAATCAAAGAACGGGCAGTGAGGTGGAAGGCCGCTGCCCCAGGACCAGCCAGTGAGGGAGTCTCACACTGGTGGCAGGGGAGGAGTGAGAATGCAAGAGGTTTTTCATAAAGTTACACTCACCCCGTTTAAGAGCTGCTAGCAAGGTGCTGAGCTGAAATGCAAGCCCAGGCCCACTTACTCCAAGACTCCTAGTACTACACTGATCTTGCCCAAAAGTAAGAAAAAGTTTATCTCTGAACTGAAAATTTTCAAACTACAATTTTACTGCTCTCTCAAAACCAGTTCTCTGCTTCTTCAGCCGATCCCACCAGATCCCACCAAATCTAGGTGTTCCTATTACCGTAGTGCACGTTCCTTTGAAAATCGCAGCAAATGAAGAGACAAAGAAATCAGGAACCGTGAGAATGCTTGCAAAATCAGGCTGCCACACAGAGGAACACCAACGGGGCTGAGAACCCCTCCCCCAGAAGGTAAATGGAGAAAGGCAAGACTTGCTAGCAGCACAGGAGAATTTCAAAACCCCTGCGAACAAAGACTCATTCAGGATGGTTTCCTGGAACAGGAGAGAGATAGTGGCTTCTAGAACACGTCTAACACTATAGAATTTTGTGTATTATTTAAAGTTCCTATTTAGAAGACATTGATTAAATCAGAGTCTCAGAACTGGAAGGGTCCTTAAAAGACTCTTGAGTTCCAAGTCCCCTCTGGTGAAACAATCCCCTACATGGCGTCAGCCAGCCTCTCCAGCAGTTGTCCCAGGGGTGGGCCTTGTCCCACTTCTGGCAAATGCTGGGAGTTAACAAGGAGTAGAGGGAGTTCATTATCTTACTCTACATGTAAATTTGAATAAGATAGTATTATATTTCCATAATAAAAATACTGTTTTACTTTTAAATTAGTTTCAGTGTAGGGACGCATAGTCCCACAACCCAGGTGGCAGCCAGGCCCCTCCTGGGAGGACTGTCCATTCCTCAGCTCCCAGAGCAGAAAAGAGGAAGAGGGGAAGGGGGAAAGGAGGTGGGAGGAGAGGGGAGGAGGGTGAAGGAGGAAGAAGAGAGGAAGAGGGGGACAATGAGGAGAGGGAGGAGAGGGAAGAGGAGGACGGGGAAGACAGTGAGGAGGAGGGGAAGGAGAGGAGGTAGAGGAGAGGGAGGGGTAGGGCTCCCTCAAACAATATTCCTCCCCGGGGAGAAAAGAATCACAATACCTGCTTTTTCCATGTTCTTCTCAAGAGTCCTTGAAACTGGGCTCTCAGAATGAGGGCCTTACCAGGTACTGGGCCTGCAGAAGGTAGGCGCCACCACCCCCACACTATGGATGGGGACACTGAGGCTTAGCGGTCACACTGTGAGGCAGTGGAAAGAGGGGCTTTGAGTCTGCCTACCCACCCCACACAGGCTCGGTGCCAGCCTGCTGAGTGGCTGCCCTGCTCCCACCTCCACAGAGGGTTCAAGGTCAGTGTGTTTCAGAAGTTAAAAGTTGACGGAAGGACAGCAAACAGTGCAGGTGGCCGGAACCAAATAAGAGGCCACCCATGAGGGAACTCAGCCCTCTGGCTGCAGGCCCGACCAGGTGCGGGAGCCCGGGAAGGCAGGATGGGCCCTCCTGGCCCGCCCACAGGCGGGCCCACTCCAGGCCAGTCCATCCTCCCTCGGTCCCTTCCGGCTCTCGGAGCAGACGCGGTTTCTGGTGTCTCCTCGTTCTCCTTCCCTCCCACCATCTTATTTTGGACATGCTCTCTGTCCGAGGTCGACTTTTTCCTCTTTCGGGAACCTACGTCTAACCTTGCACTATGGCAGTGGCGAAGTAGAGTTTGAGATAAAAATGAAACCTCACAAGCCTCACTGCAAGGCTGTGGCTCTTTTACGCAGTAGAGTCCCAGGTCAGGAAGACAGTGCTTAGCAGCTACAAGCACCCCCTTTACGAAAACGCCTTGGCTTCTTTACCTGCGACTTTATCCCGAATGAGTTTTGCAGATTCCACCTCACCGATACTGCTGAAGAGACTTCGCAGCTCATCCTGGGTCATGTTCTGAGGGAGGTAGTTGACGATTAAGTTCGTTCTCCCGATGTCATCCCTGCAGTCTTCGGCCATGTGGTCTTCATAACCATTAGACATTGTATTGTTTAAAAATCTGCAGGAGAGGGAAACCAAGTAAATTCCTACTGTTCATGTTGCCGCGCGGGGGACCAAGCAAATGAGGCATCAGCACCTAGTTTTCTCCTTAGCACTACTTCAGCTTAAGTCCACACAGAAACCTGCGCACGGGTGTTCGCAGCAGCTTTGTGTACGACTGCCCCAAACTAAGAGCAGCCACGGTGTCCTTTGGGAGGCCAGTTTGAGAAACCACCACCCACGCAAGGGAGTGTTATTCAGGGATAAAAAGAAATGAGCTATGAAGCCACAGAGACATGGAGAAACCTTAAATGCATATTGCTAAATGAAAACAAACAAACAAAAAAACACCCCAGCTTGAAAGGCTCTATACTATATGATCCCAACTACATGATGCCGTGGAAAAGACAAAACTGTGGAAATAATAAAAGGACGAGTGGTTGCTGGGAGTTGAGGAGGGGGAGGAAAGAACGCACAGGCGAAGCACAGAGGATTTTGGGGGCAGTGAAGCTACTGCGTGTAATACTATAACGGTGGATACATGTCTTCCTACATCTGTCCAAACCCATGGAATGGACGATACCAAGCATGAACCCTAAAGCCACTATGGCTTTCAGTTAATATGTATCAGTATTGGTTCATCAATTGTAACAAAATACCACATTTGTGTGAGACGTTAATAATAGGGGAAACTTTGTGTTGGAAGAGAGGTATATGGATACCCATTCTGTACTTTCTTTGCAATCTTTCTGTAAACCTACCTAGAACTGCTCTAAAAAAATAAATTCTATCACCCTGGCCAGCGCGGCTGAGTTGGTTGGGTGTCATCCCGCAAAGCAAAAGGTTGCAGGTTCAATTCTCGGTCAAGGCACATGTTTGTGTTGTGGGCCCGGTACCCAGTTGGGGCACATGTGAGAGGCAACCGACTGATGTTTCTCTCCCATCGATGTTTCTCTCCCTCTCTTTCTCTCCCCTTCCCCTCTCTAAAATAAAATAAAATCTTAAAAAAAAAAAATAGAGTTTATTAAAACAACTCCAAGTTCAACCACTTCCATTTACTAAGAGGGCTTCAAAGAAATATACAAAGAATTTCTACACCGTCACTCAAGCTCCCATGAAAAGCATTTGGGCTGTCTCTCCAGAGCAGTCCAAAGATTTCTGATTGCCTTTCCTCCTCTCCACATACACTACCGATTGGTGAGGCTGGGTACGGAACAGTCTGCATATCCAACCTGCACACCTCACCTGTCCTGCAGCAGGCAGGCAACGGCCCTCTGCATCCCTTTCTTCCAAAATCCCAATCAAGCCGGGAAGGAGGTTAGGATTGCTCTAGCGGTTAGAGAAAGCTGACGTTGAGAGCTTGCAGGTTTTGGAAGCTTTCAGTCGCCTGCAGAAGTCTCTACTCTCAGTGACAAACATCAGATCCCAGGGATAGCTTTGGAGCAGAGTCGCCCTCTGTGCAGCTGAGGGCACCAAGACCCCTCTGAGAGCACAGGGCGTGCGCACTGGGCTCGCTCACAAGCACTGCTACGAGCTGCCTAAGCTCAGCTGTCCCACGTTCCTGCCTCAAATATACATGCACTCAACACCCACCCCCAACTCCTGGCCTAAAACAACTCAGCACTGAGAAGAGACCTTGCTGCCCACTAGCCTGGTAGCCTCGGAGGCAGCCCATCCCCTTCTCCAGATCCCTACTGTCCAGCATGGCTTTCTATGCTTTCAGGAGCATTCAGCCTTCTTTAAAAATAGCCCTGCCAGCAGTTACATAAAAACGCAAATGCATCTGCTCAGGGGTTTTCCCCCTACCCTCTGAATCAACACTGAGAGAGGAATTGGGTATGGTTTCCTGTCTCAAACTTGCTTTAGGCCATATACAACGTGCAGTGTTAGTCCAATGTCCCAACATTTCTTTTACTTATTTGAAAATGTTCTGTTCCCTGCTCTTGATAAAGTAGGTTGCATCAAAAAAATTGGGACGTTAGACTTCATAAGGTTAAAGACTTCTGTATGGCAAAAGGCATCGGAGGCAGACAAGCTGCAGACCGGGAGGAAATACAGTCCCCCCAGCGCAGGACTGAAAGCCCGCAGGCTTTGGCATGCCGTAGCGGGCCCCTGCGGCTCAAACCCGTACGGCTCATAGGCCCACTGTATTTTCACAGGCGGCTTTCCGCCTGCACAGGAGGTCAGCACTCCTAATCCCCGTGCTGTTCAAGGGCCAAACCGCTCTGTCACAGTGCTCAGATTGGTGGTTCTCGCCCTGGGTGATTTCGTCCCCAGGGGACACTGGGCAACGAATGCCTGGAGACATTTCTGGTCATCACGACTGGAGGGGGAGGGTCAGTGTTGGGGGTGAGGGGGTGTGCATGTGCCTGCCACTGGGATATGGTGGGTAGAGCCCAGGGATGCTTTTAAACATTCCACAAGGCAGAGGACGGCCCCTACCACCAGGAACTATCCAACCCCAAAATGTCAGTACTGCCGAGGCTGAGAAAACTCCATTCAGAGCATCTACAAATTAGTAAGAAAAAAAAGGATGTATCACTAACAGAGAAGTGGGCAAAAGAATGAGCTGCAATGACTAGATTCCAGCAATTCAAACGGCTAGGAAACCATGGAAAGAAGCTCAAGTTCATGAATAACGAAGGAAATGTGAATGAAAAGAGATGCTACTTTCTGCCTGGCAGGTGGAATGCATCCAGCATAAAGATAAGGGGGAAGTACTCTTAGACACCGTTGACACAAGCGTGCAATGGTACCATCTTTTTAAAGGATAACTTGGTAGTGCCTACCAAGATTTTTTATGTGAATGCTACCTTTGGACTCAGAACTCTGGGAATCTGTTCTACAGGAATAAAGACACATGTGGAGGGAAACATATGACCCCCGTGGCTGGTAAAAGTAAAACACTGACTGTAAGTTAAATATGCATTAATGGGGAATGGCGAGATAAATACCAATTTTCAGTAGAAAGCATAGGACCACCGGCATTAACAGGTTCAATCATGAAAAACTCCACAAACCTGTTACACTGTCTATAGTTAGGAGACTTTGAGATCATTAGCTCAAAAGCAAACAAAAACATCTGCTGAAGCCTGAATCAAAGTGCAAGGGTAAACTCTGAGAAATTAAAATGCACTTTGCTCCGAATGTGATTCTAACATTTTTCTTCCTTCCTCTGTTTTTCTTTATCCCTCACTCTCTTTCACCCTTGTTCAGTTAGAAACCTGCTCTTCTGCCTTCTCCCTCACTCTGCCTTCATGGATGCACAGTAATTATTCCATTATTACTATCCAGAGAAGGGTGGTGTGTCTCCTATGCCTGGTAGTTACCTTTCTTAAGCAGTGGCTGGACTACCATGGCCTGGGGGCCAAATGTGACTCACTTCCTGTTTTTATAAATAAAGTTTTATTGGCACACACTACTCTCATTTGTTTATGTACTGTCTGTGGCTCCTATAGCTACAAAAGCCCCACAGCTACAGAGTCAAGTAATTGTGGACCACATGGCTCACAAAGCTGAAAATATTTACCATCTGGCTCTTTATAGGGAAAAAAAAATGTGTCGATCTCTATTCTCATATGTAAAGATAGAAAATTTCTAGGGGAAAATCTTTGTGACCTTGGGTAAGGCAAAGATTTCTTAGATACGACATCAAAAACTCAATCCATTTAAAAGAAATTGATAAACTGGATACCACCAAAATTTAAAACTTGCTCTGTAGAAAGACAATGCTAGGAAAATTACAATCCACAGGCTGGAAGAAAATATTTGCAAATCACGTATCTACAAAAGTACTTGAATCCAGAATATAATTTTTTAAAGTTTTTATTTATTTATTTTTAGAGAGCGAGGAAGGGAGGGAGAAAGAGAGGGAAACATCAATGTGTGGTTGCCTCTCGCACGCCCCCTACTGGGGACCTGGCCTGCAACCCAGGCATGTGCCCTGACTGGGAATCAAACGAGCAACCCTTTGGTTCGCAGGTTGGCACGCAATCCACTGAGCCACACCAGCCAGGGCCAGAACATAATTTTTTTTTTAAATCTTTCCAAACTTAACAATAAGAAAGCAACCCAATTTTTAAAATGGCAAAAGGTGTGACCAGACACTGCACCAAAGAAGATATATGGATGGCAAATAAACGCATGAAAAGATGCTCAACATTTTTACTTATTAGGGAAATGCACATCAAAACCACACCGAGATAGAAGAGACCACTCCCCATCTAGAATGAGAATCAAGATACCACTATGATAAGACACGGGCGCACAAGAAAGCAAGCAAGCAAGCAAACAACCAGCAACAAAACAGACAATATCAAGCTCTGGGGAGGATGTGGAGACACCAGAACGTTCATATATTGCCAGTGGAAATGCAAAAATGTTACAGTCACTTTGGAAAACAGACTGGCAGTTTCTTATAGTTAAACATACACTTACCATATGACCCAACCCTACTCCTAGTCTTCATACAAGAGAAATGAAAGCCATGTTCACATAAAAACCTATACGCAAATGTTTACAGCAACTTTATTCATAACAGCCAAAAGCTGGAACCCAAATGTCCTTCAAGCTGTTAGTGGGTAAGCTACGGCACACCACACAATGGAATACTACTCAGCAATAAGGAGGTACTACTGATTCACACAACTTGTATGCATCTCAAAAGCATTTTGCTGGAAGAAACTAGACCTTGCATGATTCCATTCTGGAAAAGGCAACACCAGAGGGCCAGGACAGTGGCTGCCAGGGGCGGGAAGCAGGAGGAGCTCTGAGGAAACACTGTATTCTGCTGTGTATCATGCACACCCATGTCTTTGTCCCAAACTTTCAGGGGAAAAAATCTTTCAGATTAATTTTTTAATTCAATTTAAAAAGTTCAACAAAACCGATTATGATATTCCAAGGTATTATTTTGCATATGGATATCATTATTGCTTTCTAGAGTAACACTTTTTAACGCATAAGCATAGATAAAGGAATTCAAAACATTTATATAGACAGGGAATTAGTACTACCCAT